TCCGTCATAATACACAGTCGCTATAATCTCTGTCACAGGCTCTGTCCTACGGATGAGCATTTTATGCGCACGGGTAAACCCTCCACAGTGTAATAGCTTACAAATCACATAATTAAGGGATGTAAACCGCACTAGTGCGACATGCTCAACTCGGAAGACATTGAGGGGGGATCTATCTCGAGTCATTCGTGTGGATGACCACCTCTAAACCAACAAGGCCATCCCGAATGAGTCAAGAGACCTTTTTTGACTACATATAAAAGTCATTTAATTTTAAGGTTATTAGACAAAGATTATTTTTCTATTTTATACTCCCCATTTTTATTTACATGTCGTCCTTACTAAAAATAAATGTTCGATACTCCCCCGTCCACTTTTAATTGTCATGGATTTCTTTTTTAGAGTCAAACGATAAGAATTTTGACTAACATTTTACGATGTATTTTTTCATCATATTAATATGTAAAAAATTGTAATTTGTAGTACTTTTTTTATAGTTTTTGAATATCTAAATTTTCTGTTTAAAATATCGAATAATGTAATCTAATTTAACTTTAAAAATTAGTTAAATTGACTTTTGAAAAGCGCAACATGACAAATATAAGTAAACGGAGGAGAGTACTTGTCATTTCACAAAACCATTACATAAATAGCACTATTCTTCCTATTTTACCCTTGAGTGTTATTAACTTTGAAAGTATGAATTTGACCAACATAGAAAAAACCAAATGATTAATTAATGTTCACTTGTTAATTTAATTAATCAAAATAAATTAATTTATGTTTATTTATTGAAAATTTGACTACAACTCTACAAGAGAACACTAAATAAGGGTAGAATGGTAAACCAACCTAATTTCTTAAGGAATGTAAAATCTAAAATGGTGACATATAAATAGGAACTGAGGGAGTACCGGATAAAAGTCATTTAACTTTATGTTTACCGCGTAAAAGTCATTTTTATCTAAATTATATATGTCGCATGAAAATATTTAATTTTGTCTAAGTTTACTAAAATGTATATTTCTCTTGATGTTTTTATATTTTGTACCAAAAATATGATATGACACTCTAAAATAGCTAATTAGCTCAATAAAACAATATTAAATGTAATGAATTAATTCAGAGACCTTCTTCAAAATCATGTTTGCCATTGGTTTCTTTGATTCTGTAAGAAAAAATCTTTTGTTAATTACAAACGTATATATGAAATTTACTTTTTTTTTTTAAAAGTACGCATATTAGTAAGGTCAAAATAGTTAAATTACTTTTTAAAAACTAATTAACGATAATAAGTTAAAATTATTACAAAGAATCAAAACAAAGCTAGTATATGTATATCATAAACCACAAGAAACATAAGTATTATTAAGCAAAATATTAAGGCAGATTTTTGGATTTTCTCAATGTAATTAACTTATTCTGAAGTGTCATGTCATATAAATGGTGTTAAATACAATTTTTTTTGGTGATACTTTTTTTTGTTAAGTTAGGCAAAATTAAATGACTCTATGTGATAAAAAATTTAAAAGTTTATTTTGATGTGATAAATTTAAAATTAGATGTCATTTATGTATTATAAAATAGAAAAATATTTTTGCGTGATAACCCTTAAATTTAAATGACTTATGCATAACAAAAAAGTAAAATAAAAACTTTTATATCATAAAAGCGGAATGACCTGAAAGATCTTCGTACTTGACTTTGTTGCTCATCCAATCAATAGGCGTATAATATAACTAACTAGACGTGAAAATTCCACATTATTTTTTAATGACACGTCATAACTATTACAAAAATATGATGACATGCACATAAAAAAAATTAATATTAAAAAATAATAATATACAAAGGAAAAATATGCCATTTGCTCTTTCTCTCTCTCTCTCTCATTGTTCACTCCTTTCCTCCAAATAGCATGTTCCATCAGGTTTTATCAATTTATACTATACAATTGATTTGCATCAATAAATACAAGTCAAGTATTAACAAATATAATTTGTGTTAATGAACACAATTATATCAAATTGTATCAATAAATGTCAAGTGTATTTGTTCCTTGGATATTAATTTTGTAGCAAGTGTATCAAGTATCAACGAATACAACTTATATCAACGAATACCACTTATATCAACAAATATAATTGTATTAAAACATAATTATATCTAGTGTATTCACTTTGTATCCATGTATTTGAGTATATGCAACTAGCTATAAATTTGCATCAATATATTCAACTGTATTTTATCTTTGTTATACATTTGTATCATATGTTGTATACTCTTTTAAAATATGATTTATACAATATTATATTCCTCCCTCATCCAGACATTGATATTGGGAGTCTGAGTATTAAATCAAAGAGGAGTAGAGGAAGAAAAGATCTATCTACCGTTTCTCACCTAATTTGTATCGCTTATATCTCATCTAGACCCTTACTTCCTTTGTTGTTGATTGTGTTTCTATACAAGAGAGAGCTAAAAAGGGAGGGGACGAAAAAAAGGGGTGACGAAGGAGATATGTGTGGGGGGGGGGGGAGCCATTGATTGAGAAAGAAGAGAAATTTGTTATAAAATCCTAAGTATAACTAAGAATCATAATTCTTTTAAACTATAATTATGTATATTAAATATATAACACATATTTGCCATAATTAACTTTTTAGTTTCCTATTATCCGTAATAATAAATTTTATACCCTACAAATATTATGATATATTTAACATTATAAATTTAAGACTTTAATCTCTTTTTTAAACTATATCATATAAATTAAATTAAATAGAGTAAACCCAAATACACTCAAAATGAGTTTACATAGAATCTTTTTTTTATTGGTTCCTCTTGAATCAATTCCTATTTCAATCCGTATTGAACCTATCGATATATTAATAATCAAGTCTGCAATCAATAGGTGGAGAGCATTAACCAATATCGTATAATAATACATATATATCCAATTCAATCTTGTCTATTCAAACCACATCAAAAACATGTGATACAAATATGTAGAGGATAATATTTTGTACAAGCTCTGCATAGCTAATTAGAATCTATGGGTAAAACAAATACTCCTACTGTTTCAAATTAGTTGTACACTTTATTTTTTACATATTTCTTGAGAAAACATAAATAAGAAAGATTATTTTACTAATCGACCACTTAAGAAATATTTTGAGTTTGCTTTTTGCACATATTTATTTCATTTAGGACTACTATTGTTATTTTCCTTGAATTATATATTTATTAAACACAAAAAAAATTATTCTCTCCTAATTGGCATGTCATGTCACACTAAATTTTATTTTTTTAGTTAATAAAATTACTTAACTCTTCAAACTATTTAACTCAATCCAAATAATATTGACATCTAAGAATAAATAATTCAGAAAGTATTGATTAGATTAAACTTTACAGATGAAATTATAAAACAAAGATAATTTAAAAAGATTTAAATATAATATGTAAAAGTAAAAAAATTGTAAAGATTCATCAAACTCATCCAATCCATGTAATATTGTCATCTAAGAACAAAAATAATTCAAAAAGTAATGATTAAATTAAAATTTACACGAAATTGTAAAATAAAGATAATAAAAAAAGATTTAAAATATAAGAATATTATAATAACGTAAAGATTAAAATTTATATTGACTATTCCTAAAGTCATATAAATATTTTAACCTAAATATCTATCTTAGTTGGGGATCATATTCTTTTTTTTTCACCTTTTTCCTATTTATCGTACATTAAAAAAATCCACTATCATAATTCATATCTTCTCAATTTTTACTTATGAGTTGATTCATCATAAAATTAAAAATAATATTCACTTTTTTGAAATATTCTCTTACTTTAGATGAAAATCGTGTTTGATCATTAAAAATTAAATTCAACTTAAAGTTATATTTTAAATTTGAAAAAAAACAGCTTAGAATAGAATATCATAATGAAATGCACCTAACTTGTTTTCAACTTACTTTTCAGTTTTGAATTTGTATATAAGTGCATTCAAATATGAAAATTTTCTAAATATTCATTGAAAAATATATAACCAAAACAGAGGTAAGATAGTAATCCAAAAAATTAATAGGGGATTTGATCATCTTATTATTTTAAATAATTTAAAACTATTTTCCTCATTTTAATGATTGAAGTTATTTTTCACCAGAAAAAAAATGAAGATCACATTGTTTGACACTTTGACTAGAGGTGTCGGTTGCTCTCATAATCTTATCACTAAACTGTAAATAATCAATTAATGTATTTTTTTTCACCTTAGTCGATGACTTAATTAAATTAAATTATTATGATTGGTATAAACACGAGTGTTAAGTAAACTTTTACGTAGTAAACACATTATATCGACTGAATCGAGTTATAATATGAGTTTGATGAGTTAAATAAATTAATTTTTAAACATCAGAGTTTAATTTAATATGGTATATATACCAATTAATAGAAAAGGATGTTTTCGTTTTGGTGATATTTAGTATATTTTGAGAAAAATAGTTCTAATAACTGAGTGATATTATAGTCTTTAAAAAACATTGGTGTTGTTTTGAGAATTAACTCCAATGTTTTTTTTGGAATTTTACAAATTTATTTACAATTCAAAAATAAATAATTATAAGGATAAATATTTTAACATGATTCTATCTTAATTATTTAAATTAATAAATAATTTGAAATAACTATTTTTTTTAGTAAAATAAACAGAATCATAATTATTTAAATTAATAAATAATTTGAAATAACTATTTTTTTTAGTAAAATAAACAATTAATATGAGACGGGAGCTACTAAGTACATCCGAACATTTAATTCTCACCAACTTCTTGTCCCAACCTTTATGATATGTTGTAATCACGTTTTAAATAGTTATACATCATAGCTTTCACATGCACACATAATTGAATTATTACTCTATATAAAGAATAGAAATTTAGCCAATTTATCACCATCTATTTTTCATTTTTTTGCTATATCGAAGAAAAAAAATGGGTCTGAAAGGCAAGTTGATTGGTTCGATAGAGGTTAAGTGTGGAGGACACTTGATTCATGATATTTTGCACGTCAATCCTCGAAATGTACCCAACATAACCAAGATTAATCATTTTGAGATGGATCATGAAGGTGAAAGCATAAAGATTGGCTCGATAGTTAGTTGGACATATAATGACGGTAACATACTATGATTCCCTTGCATCAATATAATTTCTATAATTAGGTATATTTGGCATATATGAATTCATTTACCAAGAAAATGTATTTCAAAAACAAATTATTTGATGTTATTTGGTAGTAACAATAAAATATATTTTTTGTAAAATATTTTTACACCAAAAGGGAAAAAACCTTCATTCACTTATGAGCAAAAAATATTTTCTTGCAGGTATTTAAGCTTTCTTGAATATTGATATCTTTTTATGAGGAAATGACTTTGATATTTTATTTTGTTTAATGTTTATAGACGGATCTGAAAAGGATAAAATTGTTAAGGAAGTGATTGAGGCAATTGATCCTGAGGAGAAATCGATCACTTGGAAGGTAATTGGAGGAGATCTGCTAGAGTTGTATGATTCTCTTACTATTATCACAGCATGTGAACATGAGTGGACTACATGTTCATTTATATATGAGAAAAAAACTGAAGACACCCCAGAACCTCTTGTTCCATTTGGTTTCCTCCTTAATTTGATCAAGGAAATGGAGGGTCATCTTCTCAAATAATACAAGATCAATCTGGTATCTGATAGTTCTTATCGTTACGTATTTGTGTATGTCTACGTGTACACGCGTGTGAATTTATGAATATCTATATATATATATGTGTGTTTGTGTTACAAATATATACTATATTTTGTAATATTGGCTAATTCTAGCTAGCGTGTCAAAATTAGTAATGTTGTGTTAAAAATAAAGAATATATCGGATGTATTGTACGATATATTATGTATCTTTTCGAGTATGAAATGAACTATAATAGCATATGCAAATTGTATTTGTAAATGTGCTATCTAATTCCTTTCCGGCATATATTTATATATTTATTTATTTTTCGTTTCTCTAGTTCTAAGATGGGAATTAACACTCACAAAAAGTTTAGGCTTAAGTCATCTCCGGCCACCTAAAGTTGTCCGCATAATTTACTTAGACACTTCAACTTATCCCTGTGCCAATTGAACACCTTATTTGTTCAAAAGTCATTCCTATTAGATACAAAATGCTGACATGGCAAAAAACGTGTGCTTCACTTTCTTTGAGCGCGTTAAGTTATCAAAAAATAATATTTTTTCTTTTTTTTCCCCTTAACTTATGCAACTGAATTAATAAAAAAGAAAAAAATTAATTAACAAAAAAAAAGGAGCAGTCATCTTCTTCCCCATCCCTGCATCTATTATTCCACCATTTTCATCATTTTTCTTACACACATGCGCACACCCCACCCCCTACACCTCTCTCTTTCTCTCACCCTCTGCCATTCTTCTTCTTATTTTCCTTTTTTATGTTAATTTACGTCTCAAAATTTCGATGAAGCTCAATTTATTACATGAAAAAATATGAATTGATTTTTTTGGGAAAAAGCTTGTTATTTTTTTTTCAATTCTAATAAATAGTTACTAATTGATAGAAGATGAAGGCAATGAGTAAAAGATATTCATGCTATCGAAATGAAAGAGAATGAGTATTTAGCTTGAATGGATAGAAATAGTGTATTTTGTACTGCCGACGCCAACGAAAGAGAAGAAAGAGTTAGAGCGATGGTTTGCTGGAGTCGTCGGTGCCGACACCAGCTCCGGTGGAAGGGGAAACTAGAATTGGGTCTATCGAAGAAGAAGAAGGGAAAGGGGGGGGGGGGGTGTTAATTAAAAAAACTTTTTTAATTTTTTAAAATACTTTTTGGATTATTTAAATAGAGCTTTTAAAAAAATTTGAATACAATACCACGTGCCATCATTTTATTGGTAAATCGATTTTGTATTAACGTTTGAGATACACGCATTTTTATTTTTCAACTGTTTGTCAGTTTATGTCAAATAGGTAAAAATTTCTTAAGGTTAGAGTGTTCAATAGGTACAAGCCTTAGTTGAGGTGTCTAAATGAATTATGTGGATAATTTTAAGGGGTCGCAGATGATTTAAGCCAAAAGTTTATTATGCAAAATTGATCAATAGTCGCCCAAATTTATTTAGGATGTGTTTGATAAGAAAAATATTTTCTTAGAAAATAAGTAATTTTTTATTTTTTTTAAATATTTGATAATAAATAAATAAAATTATAACTTTAATATAATTCAGGAAAACATTATGATGGCGGGATAGGAGTGGGAAGATGGGGTGGTGGGGGTAGTCAAGGAGTGGAGTAGCAAAGGGGTAGGGGTTGGGGCGTTGTTTGGGAAATGGGAGGAGATATTAAGCTTTGATATATTATTAATGGAACTTGTATTTTTGTCTACGTATTAGGGGTGTCATTTTTCTAATTTTTTAAATCTTATTATTGTTGATTATTGGTGTGGTTGTGAGAATTGTACAACTAGAGAGTTTATTTTCGTTGAGAGTAAAATACTTAGTGTTCAGTTGAGATACTAAAGTTAATTTCTTAGATTGTAGAATTATAATATGAAATCGCTTATTATAGTTAGTAAAATATAATAAGACCCAAGATCACTTCCCTTATTTAGCATCATTGAAAATTAAGGGTGCGTTTGGTATGAAGGAAAACATTTTTCGGAAAATGTTTTCCAATTTTCTCATGTTTGGTTGGGTTAAATGTTTTGGAAAATGTTTTCCAAATCAACTCATTTTCCTCAAATTTAAGGAAAATGACTTCCCTTCAAAACTTAAGGAAAACATTTTCCAAAACTCTCTTCTAACTTCAAACTACAATTACTTTTTTGTTGAAAAAATCAATTTATTTTATCCCTACCCTCAAACCAGCCCCCAACCAACCCCCCCCCCCCCAAAAAAAAAAAATTGAGTTTGTTTTTAAAAAATATTTTCAACTTCAAAATTTTATTTTTTTACCCCTACACTCGATCCCCCCCCTCACGCACCACCTACCCAGCCCCCCACCCACCCCACCCCTACCACCCCGCCTCCCCTGAAAAAAAAAATTTCAACTTCAAAATTTCATTTTTTCACCCTACCCTTGACCCCCCCCCCCCACCTCCTACCCAGCCCCCCTACCAGCCCCCCACCCCCCACTCCCAAAAAAAATTTAAGTTTGTTTTTAAAAATATTTTCAATTTCAAAATTTCATTTTTTCACCCCTACCCTCGACCCCCCACCCACCCACCCCCTACCAGCCCCCCCCCCCCCCCCCCCCCAAAAAAAAAAAAATTAAGTTTGTTTTTAAAAAATATTTTCAATTTCAAAATTTCATTTTCACCCCTACCCTTGACCCCCACCCACCCACCCCCCTACGAGCCCCCCTCCACCACCACCACCCCAAAAATAATTTTAAGTTTGTTTTTCAAAAATATTTTCAATTTCAAAATTTCATTTTTTTCACCCCTACCCAGCCCCCCATGCCACTTACCCCCTACTAGCACCCCCGCACCCCCCCCCCCCCCACCACCCCCAAAAAAAAAAATTAAGTTTGTTTTTAAAAAATATTTTCAACTTCAAAATTTTATTTTTTCACCTCAACCCTTGACCCCCTCACCCACCCCCTACCAGCCCCCATCCCCCCAAAAAAAATTTAAGTTTATTTTTAAAAAATATTTTCAACTTCAAAATTTCAATTTTTCACCCCTACCGTCAACCCACCCCTACCACCCCACCCCCAAAAAAATTTAATTTTGTTTTTAAAAAATATTTTCAATTTCAAAAATTATTTTCTACCCTAGTAAAAATAAAAGATATTTCTCAAAAAAAAAAAATCATTCATAAATCAAACACTAAAAATCTTTTCCGGAAAATATTTTCTACTGACCAACCAAACATGAGAAAATAAGTCAAAAATCAACTTGTTTTCTAGGAAAACATTTTCCATGGAAAACATTTTCCTTCATACCAAACACACCCTAAATCATAAAGATAGATATAAATGATGTGTGCGGGAATGAGAGACCAATGGCCACAAGGGCTACATTGACACACATTAAAATAATTTGTTAACATATTTATGATAATCATCATCAATGTCATGTACATATCAAATTTTACGTATCTAAAATTTTTTGTATCAAAGTGGTGCATATCAATTATGGACAACTTCACAAGAAAATGATATTGGTAAGGTGTCATATGGATTGGTTGGACTGAATTTAGACAGGTCAAAATGAATTGAATTTATTAATGGGACGATTATTAACCCGTCTATGTGACTAGACAAAATGCAGGTCATAACTCAACTCATTCAATTTTTATTAAGTTTTAATTGTTTTATTTGTTCAGTTATAACATTTTAGTACCGATTTTTCTCTCTCTATATTACGGCTACATATGACATATTAACTAAAAAAAATATTTTTTATAAATATATAGACAAAAAAATTTATGAGTCAGTCTGGGCTACATATTAAATCATTTTTTAATGAATTGAACTGGGTTGAAATGAGTTAACAAATGGGCCAGTTATTCTTGGATGGATTGGGCTTGATTTTGTGTTTGTCTTCTTAACTTTTTTTTTTTTTTTGGTTAATTGACAAATAATGCATTCTTTTGTTATAATACATATTAAGATCTAAATGTGAAATGTCAGTATACATATATAACAATAACTCACTATAGAAAACATGGAATTTTTAGACAAACACTACCGCAAATCACCATAACGAGGTTAAATTGTATTACAGATAATTGTGTTTATGTTTTTTTTTCCTCACAACGATGTTTGATCTTAGTATTGAGACCCACTAAATTCAAATTTCCTTTATAGGATCATTCTGTTAGCGGACACATTAATGTTACCTTTCACATGTAGAATAGTTAAATTGGTATTTTAAACAAGAAAAGAGAAATCGAAAATTATATTTACCCGCTTTCAAAAGAAACCTTTATTCTTGCAAAAAATATTTAGAATTTTGATCTATTATGAAACATCGGAATAGAATTCTATAAATGCAACATCAACTTTTACATAATAAATATGCTTCATCTTTATAATTCATCCGTTTAAGCCTAACACTTCTTGGTCAAATTTTTCAACCATACAAAATTTCAAATTCATAATGTTGAAAAATATGCTTCCTGATAAGAAAGCTCCCTAGAGAAGAACAAATTCCTAAATGAAAGAACATAAACATTAAAATCAATGGTCATGGAATTTAGAATTCTGAGTGAGTCCCAGGGCAGGGTATACCAAAAATATTTTGAAGTGTTAAGTAAAGGCGAGTTCCATAGGGCATAAGCCCTTGACATAAAAATGTATGCTTCGAGCGTTAATTTTGATTGTTATTGTTTCAAAAGTATTTTTTGCTATAAATCATATTTTTTATTATTGATATAATGATAATGTCATTTTGTGTATTATGAGTATCTTCTTTAATGTACTTTTTCAACCTATGTATAAATACTACTTGCATTTAGTTATACACTCTATTTAGTATTAAGGTATGTATAATTTATAGATAGAAATTCATGATATTAGTAATGCAACGATCTTTAAAGCATGCATTAGAATGGTTATAAAGACACAAGTTTCCCTCAAAACCTTTTACATACTTTCCACCATATTTGCGGAGGTATTTTTGTAAATAAAAAAAATTAGAATGATTGAACACATTATTTTAATAGAGATAAGCATTAAAAACACCCCTCAACTTTGTGCGAATTATTTGTATCATCCCTGAACAATTGATAGCTTAAAAACACCCCTATACTTGGCGAGCTAAGCTTAACTACACTCTCCCATTTCTTACACAATAATGTGTCATTCACGCGCTACACGTGAAAAACTTAAACTAATGTAGCTTATATATATAATTCTGGTATTTCTTTAATTAAAAAAATTAACATAAAATAAATTTTAAAAAGAGGGTTTTGTCTCTCTTCCCAACCAAAAATTTTCAACCTATCTCCCCTCTCTTCCTACCAAAAGCTTTCTCCAATCTCACAACATAACCCTTTGATTTCCATGGAAATCAAAGGGTTTTAAGCTTAAAACATTGATTAAAGTATTGGTAAAGGATCTGCTTTTCTTTATTTTGTTAGGGTTTTGTTCGCGTTAGTCTTAAGGATTAAATTTCAATTTGAAATTTTCTAGGGCTTCATTTGCTGCCATATTTTGCTCATCTGTAATCTTGTTTTGAGGTCAGTTTTAATGGAGGAGAAGTTAAATAGGAAGAAAAAGGGTATTATAGTAGCTGCTGGTAATTAAAAATTGAATGAAAAAATAAATAAATAAAAAGTCTGATGTGGCGTTTTTGTAACTTTTCACCCGTTTAAAGAGAGTGTAATCACTTGTTGTATCATGCCAATTATTTTGAAATTCATCAAGGTGGAATCATAAAAATTGATTCGATAGTAAGCTGGAAATATTACGCTGGTAACACAACTTTCTTCACTCTCTCTCATATTGTATGTATGTATGAAAATACGTGCGAATTTTTTTACTTATATGTGTGTTTGGTCTTTTTCAAAAGTAATAAAATAGTTTTTTTAAGAAAAAGTTTTTTGACGGTGTTTGATTACCACAAAATATTTTGTATCAGAAAAAAGAAGGGAAAAATGATAAATATGCCCCCGAACTATTATAAATGGTATGCAGATACCCTTCGTTATACATTTGGGACATTGATGCCCCTGCCATCCAAAAACTAGATCATAAATACCCGTTATACTAACAGAAATGCACGTGTCATAATCTTATCCACCGACCCGACATTTATTAAATATCGGATCGAGGGATCAGATAAGATTGTGACACGTGTCCCTATTTAGTCTTCCGTTAGAGTGAATGACATATATGCTCTAGTTTTTGGACGGCATGGGCACCAATGTCCCAAAAGTATGACGGAAGGTATCTGCATACCATATACGATAGTTCGGTGGTTATTTATCATTTTCCCAAAAAAGAAAAATAACTCCTTCCACATGCATGTGGGGCATGAATTATTTTTTAACAAGTTATTAATTATTTGGTAATAAAAAATGAACATCAGATAATTTTTGGAGAAAATTAGGAAAAACAAAATAGACACGATGAAGGTATAATTATTTTCTGGAATGCTTTATTTTTTATTGGGAAAAAGGACAAATATACCCCCAAATTAACGTAAATAGTATGCAGATACCCTCCGTCATACTTTTGGGACATTGGTACCCCTACTGTTCAAAAACTAGAACATATATACTCTTCACTCTAACGGAAGACTAAATATGGACACGTGGCACAATCTTATCCGTCGATCTGATATTTAATAAATGTTGGGTCGATGGATAAGATTATGACACGTGTATGTCCGTGAGTATAAAGGGTATTTATGTTCTAGTTTTTGGACGGCAGGGGCATCAATATCCCAAAAGTATGACACAATATATCTGCATACCATTTACGATAGTTCAAGGGTATATTTTTCCCTTTTCCCCATTTTTTTTATTAATGAGGAATTGGACAGGTGAATTAAGAGCTAACAACTCTTCTATTTTCTTATTCTAATGATTATAGATGGAAAATTGAAGATTCTTAAGGAAGTTATTGAAGCGGTCGATACTAAGAAAAAATCAATTAAAGTGATTGAAGGAGATCTGTTGGAGTTATACAACTCCTTTACTATCATCTCATCTTTTGAACCTCAGTGGACTATACCCTATAAAAATATGTGTGTTTGTGCGTGTGATGAAAAATTACAATATTGACTAGTTCTAGCTAGCATATGAAATCATTCAATAAATAATATTGTGTTTGAAAAACACGTTACATAAGTTACTCGATAGCTATGACCTATCTTTCTATGGATGTATTTCTAATGGTTGCTATATGTAGTTAAGATATAATGAATGTTGCCAAGTTACTGGTTATTTTCCTTCCTTATCAATTTTATAATGTTTTTTTACTCGGTGTTTTGTGTTCATATTAAAGTTTTTGATAAAATTTGGATCGGACTGTTTGAGAGAGACACTCTCAACTTTAGAGTTCTGTATAAATAATATTGGAAAAACTACATAATTATACACTTCACTACCATATTTACTATTATTACATTTTCTTTCAAAATATTACGTATGTTACTACTAATTAAGAGTTTTTCACCATATATTGAGGAAGATACACTTAGATATATGTATTTTTTCTACCAGATAATTAAAATAGGGAGAGAGGCGAGTGAGATGATGTATCCAAGATACATGTGAATCACACTAGATACATTATCTGTATGTATGTGGCGTGGATCACATGTATATGAGTTACCATATACATGCGAGAGTGGCAAGCGAAATGGAAAAGAGGCGACCGAGATTTGTTATGTATCCTAGATACATGCGAATCTACTTGACTACAATGTATCTAGAACAAATTCGACCCGATGTATACTGAAATACATGTATATCTGAATGTAATTGAATGTATCCGGACGCACAAAAATATGATAAAATACGAAATATTGCAAATTAGAGTATATCTAAATAATTAGATCATAAACTAGTGGAATTTATGTAAGTTTCCCAATAGTATTTACTTGAGGTATTTCCTATAATATATGTCCACTTTTTAAGACAAATAATATTTAGAACTTAGATAATACTTAAATAAAGAAATATTATTCACCTTGATATACTTTTCTTATACTTAGCAGCTTTATAAACATAATTTAGTAAGCTTAATTTAGTGCATTATATTGTTTTAAAATTTTGAGTTGCTTTTTCTATTTTGTTTTTGTTTTTTTTTCATTACCACACTATGATTTATTTACAAAAAATAGTAACGTCATGTACCTAGAAATCCTATTACCGCAAGTGTGTGGTGAGAAAATCGAACCAATATTATAATTGATGTAGAAATACAAAAAATTATATAGAGTTTGTAAATTAGTTGAATAATGTATTTTCTATAGAAATAAAAAAATCACGTGTTTTTTAAAATTAACAGCTTTTTTGGATAATTATTGTTATTACGTATTATTTCATAATATATTATATTTATATAATATAATATTGAATTGTACTATATTGTTTGAATGAATCTATTGTTAGAATAGATGGTATAATTTTCCGATGTTACATCACAAATATGAGGGTCTGGCGGCTGGCGCCGACTGAAAATTGATTTCTCCATAAGATTAGAAAATTAAAGTCATTTTTCGATTAACTTAAGAAAATGGGTTCTCTTAAAAAATTAATATTCTAAATATTTGATTAACTAAATATTGAATTAAATAAAATCAATATATTTCTTGCATACCTTACACAACCTTAAATCAATACTCATAAGGAATCTCCATTAGTCCCCGCATTACCATTAGGGAAACAAAAAAAGAAAAAAAGAAGATGCAAAAAAGAATGAGAATACCATATTAATACATATTTATTGTAGTTATAATTGCATTCATAGATGGAGGCTCACATACATAATATATATCTTTCAAACAATATTATTTATTTCAGAGGATAGCTAGAACTAGCCAATATTTTCAAATATCAGCAACACACACACACTATATATATATATATATATATATTATTATTATTATTATTATTATTATTATTATTGTTGTTGTTGTTGTTGTTGTTGTTATTTTATTTCATGAGAAGGTGATCCTCTACATGTTTGGTCAGCTCTATGAAAGCACCTAAGAGAGCGAGGGGTTCTGGAGTATCTTCATTCTTCTTCTCGTAAATAAGTGTTGTTGTAGCCCATTCATGTTCATTGGATGTGATAATAGTGAAGGAATTATACAATTCTAACACATCTCCTCCGATCACTTTCCAGGTGATTGACTTGTCATGATGATCGATGGCTTCAATCACTTCCTTAAGCAACTTTTCTTTCCCATCTATAATCATTAAAATGAAATAAAATAAATGTTACCACAAACTCAAACGTTTAATTCCTTATAAATGATCTAAATATCCACAAAATAATACCATCATCTTATTTATTTTGTTTTCCCTCATTTTTCATTTTCCTAAGATCTATCTTAGGCTTGAGAAGCTTGGACTGATCATAGGGTTCTTTAATTTAATGGAAATTTTTAGTGCTAATAATTAGTAATATTTAAGTTTTAGTTAGAGCGAGTAAAATAAAGTAAAAAATTAAAATATTTTAATTAAAGAAATAACTTTCACCCACAAGTGAAATAAATTACTTTCTCAAATATGATACAAAACATTTTATTTGGAATATATTTATGGTAATTAATCAAACAACGTCCAATAACTTTTTCGCGAAAAATAATTTTCTTAAAAAATGATTTCCATTATACGAAATACATCTATATAGAAAATTGATGAAAGCAAATCATGCATAATGAGAGAGAGAGAGTGTGAGAGATTGAAAGCGTAAAAGTGTATGTTACCTTCAATATATTTCCAGCTAATAACCACACCAACTTTAAAGATTTCACCTTCGTGAATCTCAACATGGTTGACCAATGGACTTATGTTGCATATATGATAAGTGTTAGTATGATACATATCATGAATCGAGTGTCCTTCACACTTTACCTCTACTGAAGTAACCAACTTGCCCTTCAAACCCATATTTCTTTTTGGTAGGTATAGCAATTAGAGACGTGAAAAGAAAGTGGTGATAAAATATTTGGACCTTATAGTCTTTATATAGATTTAAATTAGTTGTTAAAAGCTACCTAGTTTGAAATTAATTAACCAATCCTTGCTTCTTAGATATGTGTAAATAAGAATAAATTTGAAAAATTAAAATAAAATATCTTATTCCCTTTTTTTACTTTTACTTGTCACGATTTGACTTGACACATTCATTAAAAAATAATTAATGATATATATATATATATATATATATATTACCAAACTATCTCCTATTAAATGATATCTTAGAAAATGATTTGGATAATAAATATTTAATGCTGAGAATAAACATAAAAAAATTATTGTCTTTACTTGAATATCAAAAGTGACAAATAAAAATGAAAATTTATTTTAAAAATAAATTACAAGTAAAAATGAACGGAGAGTACTAATTATATAATAACACCAAATTAATAAGGACGGGAAGGATATAAAATATAATTTTTCAATAATACACTACCAAACTTTGGAAAGAGTGAGATTTGATTGGATAGGTGGTGCAATAAATGCTTAACCTTTTTTTAGGCATTTTAGGAAATCCTATCATATAGATCCATATATGCTTAAATAAGAGTTAAGAGTGGCTGAGATTTAAGTTGGTGGCTTAAAATTAACTTTCATTAAATAAGGTTTTAATAAATACTCCCCCGTCCCCTGTCCCATACTAAAAATAATTGTCATATATCATTTGTGCATTTTATTAAATTAAGAAAGTATTAATTACGTTCTCTGTTCAATATAGTTGTCCATTATATAAATAAAGTGTCCAACAATATTTTTTCAATTTAGAAAATCAAGAGATAATTTACCTTTTATTTCTATTTAATCCTTAATATTAAATATTATTTATTATCTAACACATTTTTCAAATCATTAAATTTAATAAAGTCAAAGGATAGTATAGTAATATTACGGGATAAGGGTCTAAAAAATACCCCAACTTAATCGAATTTGCTATTGCGATACTAAATTTTCATGAAGACCTATTACCTCCCTAGACTATTTAATTTTCACCTCTACTTGTCCCATGAACAAACTTTCAAAATTACAAGGAAAAACTTATTAAATTTTAAGTTATTAAATAATTCAGAGCAGGAGCGGATCTAAAAGGTAGAAAAGACCTAAATAGGGACTGCTCAATAACTTTGTTGGCCTTAAATTTTCTTTAAAAATTGTAATAACTTTTTTCGATACATTGATAGTATAGTCAAATGTAATTTAATCACTCTTTAAATATTGATAATCTAAATTAAGATTTTATCCAACGTTAATTTTAAAAACTTTTTGGTAGGTTGATGCTACTGTAAACATTATTTTATAAAAACAATATAATCATTTAGAAAAGAATTAAGTCTTTCACTAATCAAATTCATCCTTTCGAGTTGTCATATTTAAATTCTATACTAATAATAATATACTTAAAAGACCAATATATACCTATGAAATAAATAAAATAATAAAAATGTGATTCAAGAAAGTTAATTTTTTTTTGAAACTCCAATATATTTATTACAATAATTTTAATGCATGATATAATTTTTGCAAATATATTTTTAGATATTATATTATAATCAAATTTTAAACTCTTAAGAGATATAAAAAAAAAAAGAGAAAAATAAAAATATAAGTATACACAGTGAGAAAAGATAAACAAGAAAAAAAAGGAGATTTTGGGCTCTCTCGGAGAAAACTTGAAAGGAAACAATATATAAAGAAAAGTATAGTTTTTTTATTTTATTTTTTACTCGATATTTTGTATTTATATTAAAGCTTTAATTAAATTTGAATCGTACATTTCCAAATTTTAGAGTTCCGTATAAATAATATTGGAAAAACTGAATAATTACATACACTTTACTACCATATTTACTATTGTTACATTTTCTTTCAAAATATTGCGTATGTTACCACTAATTAAGAGTTTTCAACCATATATTGAGGAAGATACACTTAGATACATGTATTTTTGCTACCAGATAACTAAAATAGGGAGAGAGGCGAGCGACGTGATGTATCCCAGATACATGTGAATCACACTTGATACATGTATTTGTATGTATGTGGCGTGATACACATGTATTTAAGTTACCAGATACATGCGAGAGTGGTGAGCGAGATTTGTTATGTATCCCAAATACATGCGAATCCACTTGACCAATGTATCTAGAAGAAATTTGACTTCATGTATCCTGAGATACATGTATATCTGGACATATCTGAATGTATTTGGATGCACAAAAATATAATAAAATACGTAATATTGCAAACTAAAATGTATCTAAATAATTAGATTCTAAACTAGTGAAATTTATGTACCTTTTCCAATAATATTTACTTTAGGTATTTCCTATACTATATGTCCACTGTTTTGATGCGTTAAGACAAATAATAATTAGAATTTAGATATACTTAAATAAATAAATATTATTCCCCTTGATATAGTTTTCTTATACTTAGCAGCTTTATATACATAAATTTAGTAAAAACTTAGTTACTGCATTATATTGTTTATTTACAAAAAATAGTAACGTCTAACATGTACCTAGCTAGAAATCATACCGTAAGTGTATGGTGAAAAAATCGAACCAATATTATAAATTGATATAGAAACACAAAAAATATATAGAGTTTTTAAATTAGTTGAATAATGTATTTTCTATAGAAATAAAAATAATCATGTGTTTTAGAAATTAACAGCTTGTTTGGATGGTTATTGTTACTGCATATTGTTTAATAATATATTATATTTATACTGAATTTTACTATATAATTTGAATAGATTGTATAATTTTTCGATTATATAGTAAAATATATATTTATCCTAAACATGATTTTGATTAAATATATATTTTAAAAAATCAATAATTTTTTTCCATACCTTATACAACCTAAATCAACACTCATAAGGAATCTCCGTTAGACCCTGTATTACCATTAATTACAGAAACAAAAAATAAAAGAGTCGGAAAAGAATGAGAATACCATACTAATAATTAATATTTATTAAGTTATGAATGCATTTATAGAAGTAGGCACACATACATAATATATACTCGTCAAACATAACATTATTTATTTTACAGGGTAGTTAAAACTAGCCAATACTATAAAATAGTCATCATACAAGCAGCAACATAATACATTTTTTATTTCAGAAGATGATCCTCTAAATGTTTGATCACATCTAGAAAAACACCCAAGAGAGCGAGGGGCTCTGCAGTATCTTCATTTTTCTTCTCATAGACAAGTGTTGATGTAGTCCATTCATGTTCATTGGATGTGATAATAGTGAATGAATTGTACAACTCTAACACATCTCCTCCAATTACTTTCCAAGTTATCGACTTGTCATGATGATCTATGGCTTCAATCACTTCCTTAAGAATTTTTTCTTTCCCATCTATAATCATTAATACAATAGATGATATTACTCATTTAAATGTTTAATTCCTCATAAGAGATCTAAATATTCACAAAATAATATGAAATATATACCTATATAAATAATTGATACAAGCAAATCATAGTGAGAGATAGAGAGAAAGTGAAAAAATGTGTTACCTTCGATATATTTCCAGCTAACAACCTCACCAACTTTTAGAATTTTACCTTCATGAATTTCAAAATGATTAATCAATGGACTTATGTTGCGTATATGATGAGTATTGGTGTGAAACATATCATGAACCGAGTGTCCTCCACATTTCACCTCCTGTGAAGCAATTAACTTTCCCTTCAAACCCATATTTCTTCTACTGTATAGCAATAAGATGTGAAAAGAAAGTGGTGAGGAAATGTTCAGACCTTAAAGTCTTTATATAGATATTAATTAGACTTGGAAACTAGTTAATTGGTATAAATACTATACACCACATATATGTATCAAATATTATTAGTGGGAATCGAAAATTAATGTTAATTCATGTTGTGTAAAATTAGATTTTAGTTAGTTATAAATTTGAATTTCAGAATTTTACGTAGCGATGCTAATTAAACAATTTGATGAAAATGCTTTTATAACTATTCATTTTTTAAGATTGAAGTTTACAATTTACAAATAGTTGGTTCTTAATTGAAGGATCAGAAAATTAAAAATATTATTTTTTATTATTTTTATTAAATTACACTAAATATATAATTATTGTGTTGTTATTAATTGGAAAAACTACATAAAATAGACCTAGTTGTGAAATTATTTAGGAAAAATTATGTGGTTAAGCAAACTTATACTACTTAATTCGTCACCATAGCTACAATTTGCTATAATTACCACTCACGACTAACATTAATTGTTAATTACGTGGGATGGGTTCGAGTTTGTATAATTAGTCATGTTTGTATAATTCGCCACGTTTGTATAATTCGCTACTAACAATTCTTCGTTTGATTTGTATTTGTATATGACGGTGATTCCCTTTGGTTTTACAGTTTTATCACCATATACATTCAATCTTTTTGTACAACTTTTTTAAGTTTGTATAAACGTGTAGTGTCGGATTTTGTATAATATCATTTATTAATGTAATTTGTATGACTGTTTAAAGTTCAGATGTTTATGTTTGTATAAATTCGTTATATCGAGTTTTATCATATTTGTATAATTTCAAAATTTGTATTACTCAATTATATAAATACACGTGAATTGTATAAACGTATCTGCAAATTATACAAATGTAGTTGTGAATCATAATTAGCAAACTATAGCTATAAAACCTAATTAAGTTATTTTGAGTGGTTATATACGAAAATTCCCCTTTTAACCCAAATTGGACCTAATTAACCCAAACTATTTATCATTAATGGACCTGTCGCCCAAATTATTTACCCACTTACCCCACTTTCTACTTTAATATGATATAATATACACATATCAAATATCTTTGAAAATATATTATATTGCTTTATGTGATTGGTCCAAATTTAAACCCTTCTCAAATAAATAATAAAAATGATATTTCAAAAAATTATTTTTTCTATAAAAAACACTTATGATTCATATTTTGACCCAATACACTGAAAATAATATTGAAAAATAATTAATTTCATGATATCTTCCTATTGACCTATTTTAAATCAACCCCAATTTATTATAACGTAACCTAACTCATAAATGGAGATCCAACTAAAATCCACACTTACCCTGACTGATTGTCCATCTAAAAAAAAAAAATTATTTTCATTAATATAAAAAAAATTTCTCAACTATCCAAATGTCTTGTTCATTTTCTCTTTTATTCCTTTATTTAGTCTCTTATTCTTAATTAGGATATCTAGGACTCAAACTTGAAATGAACTCACATATTTATATTTTTTTAATTAGTACTCCCTCTGTCCCAATTTATGTGACACATTTCGGATATCGAGATTCAAACATGTCTATCTTTGACCGTAAATTTTTCCTATATCTTTTAAATATTTTGTATTATCAATTATTGAGACTTATAATACTTTTTGTGTAGTTTACAAATATATAAATTTCATTTTAAAAAATTTGAAAATTTCATGAGCAAATTCTCGGTCAAACTTAAACTGTTTGACTCTCGAAAAGCGAAATGTGTCACTTAAATTGGGACAGAGGGAGTATTAATTTCATGATGGGATGCGGGTAGGGATAAGAGAAATGATTATTTTAATTCTTTTATTTTTAATTTTGGTTGCACACAAAAGAAAAATATAATATTTGTACATATTTGCTCAATTAAGTCATCTTTTATTGAACTAATTATTTCTATATGAATGCATCATTATTTTCTCCTTTTTTTTCTCTCTTGTTTGTCATAATTTTTTTTTAAAAAAACTAAAATGGTGGACAAGATCAAAATAGAATTTTTTTTGGAAGAGATAGGAAGTGAAGGGCCGGGGAGGGAGGAGTGTAGAGAGTAGATGTCTAACCTTTTATAATTTTAAATTTTCTATGAAATTCAAAATTAAGTCAATATTACCCTCCATTCACCTATTAGGTATGATCTGTTAGACATAAGGGTGTTTTTGAGCCAAAAGGTGGACGTCAGGGGTATTTTAGGGCCGATAGGTGGATGAAAGGTAATTTTTGTACCAATTCAAATACTTGAAGGGCATTTTAGACCCTTCTCCGTAATAAATAAATAATAATGTCACATGCATAAATTTATTTCTCAATAAATACGCTGCCAAACTTTGAAAATTGAGATTTGATAGTTTGTGAAATAAATGCTTAACCTAGTTTAGGGTTAGGCATTTTAAGAAAATCATATCCTATGCTAACCATAGGTTTGGTAGGAGCCTTATTCTAGAAACGTGTCATTCAATCTTTGAAAATGCTGCTATGCCTCTTAATTTTAACACCACCTATCTTTATCTTTTTCCTAAAATTCCTAATGCAAATCATCTTAAGTACTTTAGGCCTATCGGTTTGTGCAACACTATCTATAAAATTATTACAAAAACTATTGCAAATCGTATGAAACCCATTTTAGAGGCTCTCATTGGCCCTTGCCAAAGAAGTTTCCTTAAAGGTAGGAGGCCGTTGGATAATGCTATTATCATTCGATCAGGAAGTAATTCAGTACCTTAAGAACTCCAAGAGGAAAGGGATAAGTTAGAATGATCTTTTATCCATGAAACCCTTAAGTTCTTCAAATTTCCTAATAACATTAGGTCTCTCATTATGAGTTGCATCTCTAGGGGTATCCGTCAAGGCGATCCGATGTCCCCTTATATTTTTATCCTTTGTATGTAAATGTTGTCTGTACACATTAACCACCAAGTCAACTTGGGTCTGGAAACCTATCAAAATGTTGTCTTTTTTATGCTGATGACCTTACTCTTATGTCTAGAGTTCAGCATAAAAGTGTTATCATTGGTCATACCCTTAAAAGATTTTGTTCTCTTTCTGGACAGTCCATTAATCACTCTAAATCGAAAATCAATTTTTCCAATACATGCCAAATTCTACTCTTAAAGCCATAGACAAATCTCAACGTGACTTCCTTTGGGGGTCGACTTCTATTAAGAAAAAACTCCACTACCTCAGTTGGGGCATTGTCACTAAACAAATGAAGTGATGCTTTTGATGGAACCTCCACCATGGGCTGAGGACTGCTTAAACAATGACTCTTTTGGAGGATATACTACTAGAAAAAAAATATACTCCCTCTGTCCCTAATTACTTGTCGTCCATTTTAACAAATCAAGAAATAAAAAATTATTTTTTACCTATTACACCCTCAATTAAATGACTAATTACTTTGAAAAATGCAGAACTTTTCATCCAATTCATAATTAATAAGGGTAAAATGATAAACTCGCTATGTCATTAATTGATTTCTTAATAAGTGTGTCAATTCAAAAGTGGACAAGTAATTAGGGACAGAGGGAGTATTGTGTATGACTAGCCACAACAAATTTTGTACTGTAATTATCTAGCAAAACTTGGTAACCTTAGTATTTTAAATTCCAGTCTAGCTGAGGATGAGGATGAACTACTGAATATGTCTCATCCATCTGCATCTCTAGAAGCCACTATTATGCATGATCATGTTGAAGCAGAGGGGGGAAATAACCCCTATGTAATGTTGATCTAGTTGTGTTATAAATAAAAAGCCCTTTTAACCCAAAAAATAAAAAAGATACCTAGAAAAAATGCTTATTAGACCACGTATAAAAAAAAAATTTTTTAGGAATAGCAAACATAAAAAATATATTGGCGTTCTATAGCTACAGTTTTGCTATTTGAGCTGATTTTAGGAATAACAAACATAATAAAGTAAATTTTAGGAATAGCAAACATAAAAAATATATGAATCATCTTATTGGTATAAATCACGACGATTTGTATAAATCGAGCGTCTGTGTCTATGAAAATTGTGTTTGTATATGTATATGTTCTTTGTGTTAGGCTACAGTGGCGACCGAGATTAAGAAAGAGATGAGAGACGTGAATTGTCTATGTATATCAGTTAGATAATTGTATATAAAAAACTTTGTCAAAATTAGTTTACCCATATTACAATGACCTTAAATCTCGAAAATCAATGAAAACTCACTCTAAATCGACCTTCAAATCAATTTTTTTTTTATTTCTATACTTTAGGGTTTAAAATCTCAACTAGAGGTATGCATCGGTCGGTTCAATTTTATGTATTATCTGTTCGATTTATCGGTTTTCGATTTTTAAATATATTAAACCAATAATCAAACTAATAAGATATTTTTATTGGTTTTCAATTTATCAGTTTTGGTCCTTAACGGTTCGATTTTCGATTTAGCCAATATGAAAATACTTATAAAACAAATATATGACTTCTCTAATAAATTTGACACGATAACACCATAATGTAACTTTATAAATGATCATAAAATAGAAACAATAGTAATTAACCTGAAAAGAACTTACATGTGTAACACAAAGAAAAATTAAGAGGATTATGATTCTTAGTTTAGATTTAGACACTGTGAACTCAAAGCCATTGTGAAGTGTGATTGAAGACTAAAGGACAAAGACAATAACTAGTAAGGTATTGAAATTAATATATAATATTTATGCACAAGTAAAAGTGATAAATTATTAGTCTTAATGGATTATCGATTTACCTAATAACCTAATATTAAAAATCAAATCCGAACAGATAACCCAATAATTTTCTTTTATAAATCCATTAAACGATGTTAACCCAATAAATCAATAACAGTGTTTTTGGTTCGATTTATCGGTCGGTTCGATTTTTGCAAACCCCTAATCTCAACTTAATGGATAGAAACATGAAATATGAAAGGGATAGTCTTGGGGAAAGAGTAAAATAGGGTTAAAAATACGTACCCAATGATTATGAAAGAAAAACGCATCAAAAATCACATCAAATGGATTTTTCTATCTCCCTAAATGTTAAAAGTACAAAATGAGTTCGAATATATATTTAACTCAGCAATTTCGTCACTAAAACCCAATTTTCGTCACTAAAATTCTATTTGTTTTGTCACTAAAAGTATGCACCAGCAACCTTGAAAACATCTTTTTGACCCTTAAAACTCATTCAGAATCCTATAAACACGAACCAATAGTGCAAATGCATCATAAAACATGTGTTGGAACCAATGAAATTGTCGGATTTCAAAAAAAATATGGTTATGACCGAAATATCCCTTGAAACCCATTTAGGCCAAAAGTTCAACATTTTACTTAATTAATATCCAAACACAACCTAAGGTCTCGGAACTCTAACCGATCACATTAATAGAACAAACTCGACATTCTAGACTCAATAAACTGAAGAAATCCCCATACGACACTCAGAACTCATAATGTTGATCAAAGTCAATCATATAAAAAATTCTCGACTCAAAAGGGACAAAATCACCAAAAACACACCTGATCACATCGGGGACCACACCAATCATTTCCGCAATGCAAACTAAGTGTGGTAAAGCTAAGAGGAAGGATAAAATGGCCATTTCACAGTTAAAAGTAAATTCACAAGAAATGAAACATTACATGAGTACCGTGTTGTTTGTTAATTAAGCGTTTACTGTCATGTCAAAAAGCTATATCCAACAATCTCCTTCCCAACCCCTACGTTATGCAGAATGTTGCTCTTGGGAATGGCACCTACGACTTTAGCTCTGATATCACTTGTTAAGTTCAAATCCCTACTATTACGCCAAAAGTTATAGTTGATGGCAAAGGCATAACTTTATTTCTTAACTAATAAGTCTACCAAACAAGCATCATGTTCGGTCATTACTCACTACAAAAAAAGTGTGAATTACATGGGGATTTTTCTGGGGATTAGTGTCACGCCCCGAGCCTACACCCTGGACGTGGCTGGCACTCGAAGACCATTGCTGGCCCCCAAGCGAACCTTGGCCTGGCTTTCTTAACTCAGCGGAAACTTAACTCAACAGAATAACTCAATGCAATGAAAGGTCATAAAACCACCTAACTGATGAAAACTGGCCAAAAAGGCAACTCGCGTCTCAAAATAGAATATTTATATATATACATAGATGAGAGACTCAATACTAACTGACCGACGGTCTATGAAGCCTCTATAGCACTGAGATGGATGTTGGGACAGACCCCGCAACATCCTAATAAAACAAAACTAGGAACACAAAATAACAGAGTCCTCTGGAAGGCAAGGAGGCTCACCACTAACTCTAGATTGCTCAGCTGGATCAACGGAGTGCTGGATGCTGATCCTGGTTACCTGCGTCTGCATCATCATAAGATGCAGGCCAACTGGCATCAGTACATTGAATGTATGAGTATGCGAGCTGGAAAGCTAAACAACAACTTAAGCTTGAAAAGAGTACAAGAGAACACTTACCTTGGCTCTATTCAACTCATGAATAACTGAACTCAATATAAAGCAATAAGACACATGCAATATATAAAGCTTGTAAAACAGTGTAAACAACTTAGTTCGTTAATGATTAAAGCAATAACAAACTCAACTTTACTTATATAAAAGTAATATAACTTTAGTGGGAGATTCTTTAACCGACAACCACCACTATGAGCCCTAGTGATGATAAAACGTTTTACCTCACGTTGCCCAAGTACCATCCTATACCTTGCCGTGATATAGGACCTTACTTAACTTAGTGGATCCACTAGCTTAACTTACGTGATCATCTAAAAAGTATGACCCATTAAATCCCATGTTTGGCTACATGGTTCTTATGGAGAGTTGAGTTAATATGAACTCGTGTCCCCAATCCGATGCTCAATACTACTCCCAAAAATATACTTTAGCTCATAAGTGTTTTAAACACATCTTTCTTTAGTTTGAGATAATTGCTCAAAGCTTAGCCCAAAGGCTCTCTAGGAAAACATAGTTCCTTTCTTACTCAAATGTAAAAACATTTATAAACTTCTTTGGGAATACTTAGTTCCCTAATCACTTTTGAGAAATGAACTGAATTCTATACTCTTGGCTTAACTTGAAACTTGAGCCTTAAAACGAAGTTAAAACGTTCAATAAAGACTCTTGAAAAACTTTAAGAAACTTGCTTTGACTTGCTTCTTAACTTCTAGACTTGACTCTAACTTCACTTGACTTCGATCCTAACTTTCCTAGAATTGGATTACGGATTCAAGGGTAATGATCTCATGTTTATGGATGAGTTCGTGAGGTTTAGATGTACCTTAGAGTGTTGAAAACAACTATAAAACATAGGTACATTACCAAGGAACATGTATGAAAAAGTGGGGAAGGAATGAGGAGAATTGGCGTCCTTGACGCTCTGAGAGGCGTGGGGCGCCAGCCCTCAAGTTTCAGAGGGGCTGCTGGGCGCACTGCATAGCGCGCCGCCCCAAGGGGGGAACTTCAGAGTCCCTTTTGGGACGTGCTAGATGGCGTGACGCCCCAGCCTTTTACCCAGAAAATCCAACTTTTCTACTTAGTTTCTCCAACTCTAAACCCTCTTAACATCAAAGGTTATTTCCCCAAACACTTAGAATCCTTAAAAATCTTAATATACAATAACTTCAACTCGAAATCACACCCGGAAACACGTATCAAACCAACAAGAACTTCAACAACACAACCACAAGAATTCAACAACCACAACCAATCTTTTCTCGGAATTAAAACGAGTTTGGCGTGTGGGGGAATAAACCAACCCAACACTATGATCTCACATACCTTATTAGGGATCACCCCCGACGAAAACCACGACGATCTTGACGAACCTTGCTTCTTCTTCTCTTTCTCCTTTTCTCTCAAAAGCCCTAACTCTCACTTTTAAAAGGGAAAACTGATTTAAAATTAGTCTAGACCCTTAATAAAGAAATGGTTAGGGAAAAGATCAAAATACCCTTAAAAAATTCGGGTGAACTTCCCTATGCCAACAACCCAACTTCCAAAGGGAATAACTCACTCATACGAACTCGGAATCGAGCAAACTCGGCGGCGTTGGAAAGATCCTTCCAAAATCTTTCCAAAAAAATAACTGGAATTACATCTAACTCATCCCGTGCTAGGAATTATGACCATTTGAAATTGACGAAAAACTCACCTTTTTCCATACTTAACTAAATTTTCCAGATTTTGAATTCTTTCCAAAAATGACTATTTCCAATTATAAGCTCCTTCATAGCTATTTCAAAATGCAAGATGTTACAATTAGTATGAAAATCCGCAAGAAACTTATTTTCCTGCAAATTTTCATAATAATCACCAAGAAAATCTCCATGTAATTCACACTTTTCTTGTAGTGCGTACTCCGATCCGGACCACCTAGCCCCTCGGTGCCTTGCCATAGCACATAAAATTTCATTGTGAAAGTCAAATTTATAATTAAACCAAAACCCAACTATAAACAAAATGAACTAACACTACATAACATGTGGCAATAAATATGTGGTCTATAAAGTTTTTTCAGCTAATTAAATTCCATATAAATCTACAAGTTCTAACCACTTCATCACCAATTTCTTTTCACAGCTTATTATTTTGGGGAAAAGAAATTATGGGCGTAAAAGGTAAGTTGATTGCTTCAATAGAGGCAAAGTGTGGAGGACATTTGATTCATGATACTCTTCACTCCAATACTCATCATATACCCAACATATGCCCTAGTAAGGTCAACCATTTCCAGATTCATGGAGGTGAAATCATTAAGGTTGGTTCAATTATTAGCTGGAAATATAACGAGGGTAAGACATACTTCTCTCCTCTCTCTCATGATAATATTTGCTTGCATCAAATTTCTATATTTAGGATCATTTCCTAAAGTCTTTTCCAAGAAAATAATGTTTGTGAAAAAAAATGTTTGACGGTGTTTGGTTACCCATAAATGTATTCCAGTAAAATATTTTACATCAAAAAAGAAAAGAGCAACTTTTTCTTACTTGTGGGTGGAAGTTAATTCTTTAAATCAAATTGTATTTTAACTTGGTAACTTTATTTTACTTTCTCCATCTAACACTTTTAGACTTATTAATCTTTAATATTCAAAAGTTTTATCAAATCAAAACACTCTATGATTTTTAATAATATTAGGGGTCGTTTGGTGTGAGGGATTAAAAATAATAGTGATGGAATAAAAAAGTTTTACATCTTGTTTGGTTACCATGTTTGGGATAACTTATCCCACCATTTATGCCATAGCGATGGGAAAAGTTATCCCATATACATGGTGAGATAAGTTATCCCAGGATAGCTAACCCCATGATAACTTATCTTGAGATAACTTGTTCCCAACCAAACGACCCCTATATAATATATGATTTTCCAATATATGTCTTTCACTTACTAATCAAACACCAGAAAACATTTTTTTTCATTCACTAATCGAACACCAAAGAACATTTTTCTAAAGCTTTGCGGGAAAAATCTTTACATGAAATTTATTCCTTAGTACAAAACACAATATATTCTTATAACATGTCCTACTAATTCCCACATTCTCCAAAATGTGAAAAATGAAAATGAAAAATGAAGAAAAAACAAAATAGTTGGATATAATTTGACGAATGATTAGATCTTTTAAAGGATTTTAATATTTAATTTAGGAATAACATCTCTTATATTTTTTGGTTTTAATAATTATAGATGGAAAAGAAAAATTTGCTAAGGAAGTGATAGAGTCCATCGATCCTCATAACAAATCAATCACTTGGAAAGTGATTGAAGGAGATTTGCTAGACTTATATAATTCCTTCAAAATCATCACTACTAGTGAACATGAGTGGACTACATTGACATTCGTGTACGAGAAAAAAAAAAAAGATATACCAGAGCCCCTCACTGTATTTGGTGAATGGATTGATGTGATCAAAGAGATAGATGGGCACCTTTTTAAGAAATAAAAAATCTATAAAATTCAACGATTGTATATGTATGTGTGCGTGTTTGTGCTTGTGTGATGAATCTTTAATAATATCGGCTAGTTCTAGCTAGCATGTGAAATAAATAATGTTATATTCAAAGAATATGGATGAAGCTCCTATCAATTTACTAATTTTGTCATATATTTAGTTGACGAAAATGTTTAGAACTTTTTTAAAGAATATATTGAAACTGTTTAAAATGATTTGCTATTCAATGACGAAAATGATTTTTTTTTTTTTTATAACCGAGAAATTTGTCTGTGACCCGCCCTTTGGACCAATCACAGCCTTCTAAACTCGGTGGATAATGGGGCTGCCCCTCTACCCTTCTCCACTTAAATACCGGATTTCGCTTTGCATGGTGTGGGGATTGAACCTGCGACCTAAGCCACAAATCCTCCACCTTTTGCCACTTGAGCTAGGCCTTGGGGGCCAATGACGAAAATGATTTGCTATTCAAGATATTGAAACTAATTTGGTTTCATTAGAAATAACACAAAAGGTACGAGGATAGAGACTTTTGAGCATAATAGGTGTTTCCATAATTCCAAGGCAAAAAAAAGCAATAATATTTTGTTATAATTTTAGATTTAATATATAAAATATAATTTTCATAAATAAATAATTCGATATTGTTCGATAATTTTTATAAAATTAAGAACCTCTCCAAATTATTTGACATAAATATGGATTTATATAAAAATCTATAAAAAAAATAAAAAAAATTAAATCTATTATTTAGTTTGATTCGATTCATTCACATCCCTACTTGCTAGCGTATTAATTTCATCTCACAAGCAAACCTCCAACAACATAGTGATCAATAAACAATAATTAGGACCCTTTAATGCGAACTATTTTTTTTTTACGGTTTCCCATCTGGTGTTTGGAGTCGTCCACAATATAATTTTGACTAAATTCGGATTGCACGCTACAAGACTCATGTGCTCGAACCTGAGACCTTTGATTAAGGGTAAAACAATCTCACCACCACACCAGAACCATATTGATGTCAAAACTCCACTTATCCCTTTGATTCCAGTTCAAATCATGCTAATAAGTTCCAAATGATATTCCTAACTAATGTAAGGTCTCAAAACATAATTTAGAGCTTTAAAATAATAAACGAGAGCTTGAGTTATTATAACAAAATGCATGATATTATACATATATTGACCATTGAAAATACATACATATCATAGAAAGAAATAGACATATATAATATATTCTTTACACAATATTCTTTATTCCACACGCTAGCTAGAGCTAGCCAACATCCTCAATTATTCATCACACAAACACAAACACAAACACATACACACATTGATATATTTCTTCTATTTCTTGAGAAGGTGACTCTCTATATCCTTGGTTAAGTCAAGGAGAAGACCCAATTGAATGAGGGGCTCTGAAATATCTTCAGTTTTCTTTTCGTATTCAATTGTCCATGTTGTCCACTCGTGTTCACAAGATAGGATAACAGTAAAGGAATTGTACAACTCTAACACATCTCCTTCAATCACTTTCCAAGTGATTGATTTCATGTCAGGGTCGATGGCTTCAATTACTTGCTTAATAAACTTCTTTTGTCCAGCTGTAATTATTAAAACAAACAAAATATAATAGGTGTTACTCCTTGTTTGACTGTTTAACTCCTCATGAAAACAAACAATTTTTACATGAATGGGATATTGCAATTGCTCTATCAAAGCATTGACAAATTTAAGAAAATCATATTTAAATTTTATTCCTGTGTTCGGTAGAGAGGAAAATATTTTTTTGATTTTTTCAAAATATTTTGTTTAGAAAATAAAAATAAAAATGACTTCTCTAATGATAATAGAAAGACAAGTTTCAGATGACATTCTAATTTCATCGTCTCCACTTGCTCACCTAACCATCCAACCCCACAAATCTTGTTCATTACCTTATTCCACCTCATATTGTTATGCTAGATCACATATAAATATTTTTGGGATAATAATTTTTTATGTACTTAACAAATATTTTAAAAAATAAGTAAAAGACTTACTTATTTTTAAAAAAAAATATTTTTTAGAAAAACACTTTCCACATATACCAAGCACACCTCCTCGATGGACAATTTTACTATTTTCTCCTATAATCGAAAGAAAAAAAAAAGACCCAATTTGAGTCGTCCTCTAGCAGCTCTAGATGATGGTGTGGATTCACGCAGCTCGAATTTGAATTAGTCAGAAATTAAATTTCGAATATTCATATGAACAAAAGTTGAGTAGCAAAAAAACAAATGGATCGTCATCATATAAGGTAGATTAGATTCGACTATACGTACAAGATAATCTAATGCTCTTGAATATTGGATTGTCTTCCTAGAATATAATTTCAATTATATTATTAATAATAGTAATATCTTTTGCTTCCGTACTTTTTGTTTCCTTGATGACACAAATCTAAAATCTTAGGATCGAAAAAGAACAATACTTGATGTATGTAAATCTTATTGAAGGAGAGAGAATAGAAAAATGTGTGTTACCTTCATTATAATTCCAACTAACAATCGAACCAACTTTTACAGTTTCACCTTCGTGTATCTCAAAATGGTTGATAATACTAGGACTTATATTAGGTATATGATGGGTATGGATGTGAAAAAAAATCATGAATCGGGTGTCCTCCACACTTCACCTCCACTGAAGCAATTAATTTGCCTTTCAGACCCATATTTTCTTCAATTACAATAAGTTTTGGAAAGAAAGTGGTGAGAAAAAGTTTATAACTTGTAACCTTTATATAGATTTTAATTTGTTGTGAGAAGCTAGCTAGTAGAAAATATTATCCACCACATATATGTATCACATATTATTAATAATGTTAATCATTTGTAGAGCCGTCAAAAATGGGCTTAGGCCATGGGGTCGGCCAACCCAACTCATTATTGAGGTAGGGTAGGGATAGGATTTTTCAAGCGCATTTAAAATTAGGGCTTATAAGCCCAATCCATATAAGTCATTGGCCCTTGAGGCTTGATCGGGGCCGGGCCGGGGTCAATCCATGGGCCAACTATTTATTTAACGGTAACTTACAACAATCTCACTAATATATGAGCTAATTACTTAAATGCATGTTATGTTATAGTATTATGAATCTTACCAGATTTTAGTATGTCTAGATACATGTATTTCAGGATACATGGACTCAAAATTAAGATAATTTGTTCTACATACATTCTACCCAAATGGGTTCGCATGTATCTAGGATACATAGACAAATCTTGCGCCCTCGTCTCCCTCCCATCTTGCTTGCCACTCTCTTATCTCGCTCGCGTATCTTGGATGCATCACACTAGTTAAAATCTTCTCATTTTCTTGATGTTATAGAATTTTATGTTTGAAAAGAAAAAAAAAAGAGCTAGCCCACTCCAACCCTCGGCCCTTCCAGGGTTGGGTTGAGTTGAGTATTTTCAGGTCCTTCCAAATGAAGAGCTAGCCCGCCCTTGCCCTTCAAATTCCTTGGCCTGCGAGGCTTGGATCGGGTAGGATTGGGTTGACCCTTTTTCACAACTCTAATCATTTGTGTTTAATTAGGTTTTCATCTAGTAATCACTACTAAGAATGTCAAAAATCAACCTCACAAAATTTCTTTTTTAATTATTTTTGTAATGATCCGATCCGTCTTTATTTAAATGCACTTCGTGTGGAGTCTTAAAAAATTCTTGAACTTCGGTGCAAAATAAAATTTGGGGCACATGGCAGAATTATTAAATTTGAACTGATCCAGGCTAACGTCAACCCACCATAGAGGGATGCCTTCCGCTATGGCGGCATCTCTATAGCGCCTGCAGGGCCACTATAACGAGGCTGACAGAATCAAACCCTAAAAAAAATATTGTCTTTTATTTTTCTTCCCATTTTTCTTAGACAAAATATGCAAGGGTTATTATAAAAGTTCTCCTAGCTAGGCCACTTTATGCTCGAGGACAATGGAGGAGAGGGATGCACAAGGAAGGGTAAGACCCAATGCTTCCCTGCCAATGTTCATCAAGATTCTCCCCAAGGAGCAAGGAGCTGCATCTATAGTCTTTCAACAGTTGCTTGACACCTAGGTAGGTAGTGGCGGACTCAGAATTTTTGCTCATAGGTTCAAGGTATAAAAAAGAAGTTCAGGTGGTAATGCAATGCGCAATGAGCATAGTAACTCGTCGTCATGCTCTTTGTACAAGAACCATAGATATTTCATTGGTTCATAAAAGTAAAGACTAAACTAATCAAAGATATCGGGGACAAAGATATATTGATAAGAATAATTTTAGTGGATCGACTGAATTACATAAGTTAATTCCTAAAACACATGAAAACAAAATGTTGAAAAAGGGAGCAAGATGGGGAAGAAAGATATTTACCTTATCATGCTAAATTTAAATTACTTTATCATACCTTATTAAGCATTTATTTCTACTTTTATCATGGTCCATCGAGCTTTTTAAAAATTTCTTGTGTTTTTTATACTTTTATTTTGTAATGTTTTACTTTATTTTTCACTTTTTAAAAAATTTAAATTAATATTCATTCAATCACATGTTTCTATGAAAACCGTTAAGATTCTCTGAAAGTGTGTAAGAATAGAGTTACTAATATTATAATGCATATCAGAAGATTTAGAAGACAAATAAATAGCATCGTCAATTTTTTTAGTTCATATAGTTCAATTTACTATGTCAACTATAATTTGTAAAAAGACAAATAACAAATAAATCAAATAAGTTTAGTTTCTATTTCTCTAAAATAGAATTAACAATATAAAATAATTTATCATTTTTAAAGAATTATTCAAGTTAGTATATGAAGAAAAGAGTTCCATTGAAACAAAATGAATAATAGATATAAAAAGAATAAAAACTAAAAATCAAATATAATGTGTCTAATACATTTAAACAAAAACAAATTAAAAAGAAGAAATGGAATAAAAGGAAAAAATAATGGGAAAATTGTATAAAATGGCAAACTATTAATTGAAATTAAATGTTATAACCACAGTTTGATTTAATTGTAACCCGTAGCAAACAGTTGTCATTCGCCTCTCTCCCCAGCTTTCTCGCTCGCCACTCTCCCTTTTTCGCTTGCCT